ATCCATGAATCATTTGCACTTGAACTTCAAAATGTAAGACTAAAATTATGTGCCGATGATTTTTGTTCATTTGGTCCAAGTATGAAACTATACTTTTGTTAGCCAGTAATATTAGTAGTATAAAATTGGTCGCCATGATCATGTATGAAGCGAGAATATATCTTGTTGAATATAGTCATTTGAGGAAAGAGTAATTTGGGCCAAAATATATATGTTTCTTGAGACCTTTAATAGATGAATTAAAATATTATGGTTGAATGGTGTTATGATGTATAATGCTTATAAAAAATAAAATTTTCATTTAAGGGCAGCTCTTTTATGGACAATTAATGATTTTACTACAATTGGTATGTTGTTTGGATAAAGCATTTATGAAAACTTATCATGTCTTTATTGCATGAGACAAGGAAAGTCTTTTTTATTGGCTAATGATAAGAAACCTTGCTTTTTCTATTGTCATAGTCAGTTTTTGCCTTTTGATCATCTTTTTAGAAGGTAAAGAGATAAATTTTAAAAAAGAGTATAGTGTGACTCCTTTATTGTTTCATTATCAACTGAAAAAATTTTGTCTTGGTTAGATAACTTTCGTGATATTATATTTGGCATGAAATATAGTGATTAGAAGTTAGATGGTTTTGGTAAAAGTCATAATTGAGTGAAGAAAGGATATTTTTGAAGTTGTCTTATTGGCATACCAATCTTATTTGACACAATTTTGATATGATGCATATTGAGTGTAATGTCTTTGACAATGTCTTTAACATAATAATGGATGTTAAAGATAAAACCAAAGACTACATAAAAGCTAAACTAGATCTGAAGGTGTATTGCAAACAACTTGAGTTAGAATTGGTTAAAAGGAATGAAAAAGTTTTCCTGCCTAAAGCTTCACTTTAAGCAAAGGGCAAAGAAAAAAATATTTGTGTGTGAGTTAAACAATTAAGACTTCTTGATAGTTTTAGATCTAACATAACTCGATGCACAAATATGGCTGATTGCAAGTTTTATGAGATGAAAAGTCATGATTATCATGTTTTCATGCAACGATTACTCCCAATAACCTTTAATGATTTGGTGCTTAACTCTATTTGTGATGCAATTACTGAGTTATCTTAATTTTTTAAAGATCTATGTTTTACTAAAATATATGTAAATCATATGGAAGTGTTGAAAAAAACATTATGAAAACAATCTGTGAATTAGAAAAGATTTTTTCTCTAGGTTTCTTTGATTTTATGGAGCATTTTCCGATTCACTTGCCTAATGAGGCAAAAATTGGTGAACTTGTTAATTATTGATGGATGTATCTATTTGAGAGGTAATATGATTCAATGTTAGACATTAACATTGATTAATTTTATTTTCCTTTAATAACATTTATGTTATGTTATGATGATGACTAGGTTTCTTCATCATCTTAAGAAAAATGCACCAATCGAGCATTTGTTGAAGCATATATATGTGAGGCATAAGTTATCGATGAGACATCTACTTTTTGCTCATTCTATTTTGATCTAAATGTGTCAACAAAATTGAATTGAGTTCTATGTAATGATGATGTGGGAGTCACAGAATCTAGAAGACATTTTTGGATTTTCACTCATCCTAACCGAGCATTAGATCCACAAGATAATTCTTGATGGTTATTAATTTATGAGCACACTAAGGCACATTTATATGTTTTATTGAATTGTGAAGAGATAAATATTTACATTGAGTAAGTACTATGTTAACTCTACAATGTAAGTTAACATTTTTTTTTAATTTGTAATTAATAATGATAAGATATTCAGTGACTCGATGAAAAGATAATTTATGAATATAAGTGATATAGAATTAGAGAAAGCACGTGATACAAGATTGCAACAATAGTTAAGACAATTTGTAAGTTTAGAGCATAATACCATATATGAATTAAAATTATATTTTCATATAAATTTAAACAATGATCAATTTTAATGTTTTATGGTTGGATAAGTTGAAGAACAAAATGGCAACTTGATATCTAGTTGAGATAGCTTATAGCCTTGAATGCTTGGTTATGTGTTTTAAAGGTTACTTTGTGAATGGTTTTAAGTTTTATATAGCTAACTATGGCCAAACTCGAAAGATGATGAATTATGGGATATGAGTGAAAAAAAGTTGATACAATGATTATGAGCATGACTTTTATGGTATCTTAGAATATATCATTGAGTTAGAGTACCTTGGAGCAAGGAAAAATGTTATACTTTTTATTGTGAAAAGTAAAAACTGTTAAATATTTAATCGTGACTTGTTTAGATTTTTTTTCCATTCTTCAGTAAATCTTGATGTTGTAATTGTTTGAAATTGTCTTACTTTATTGAACTACATAGGTAAAATGAAATGATAATTGTTTTAAACTTTTTATAAGAGAACTATGCTACTACATTATCTCAAAAATATAGTGAAGACTCTTTCAATCATCTTGATTTTCGATCCACAGGCATAGACCAAAGCTATTAGAGGGTTGAAGTTAGGCACACTCATGTATATGGCTTTGGAGCTACAGATAAATCTAAAGAGCTACTTTACTCTAGTCAGTCCAATGTTGCAGCAGCAATATCCCACTTACTTTGTAGTATGCTATTTGTACCTCTTCAATCTCAGATATAACAACAAATTGATGAGTTGAGAATTGAGCTGAAAGCTAAGTTTAGATCTTTCATGGATCAAATGATGCAATTGATGGGGTTTAGATAATTTCCTCTAACATAATTAGAAGTACCTTTTAAACATGATGACAACAACGCAAATTTTAGATTAGGAGATGTAGCACAATGACATGTTTTTCAAGACTTATATTATGATGATTTGAGTTGTTTTACACTACTATATTTTATGGATTTCAACTTTATAGTTTGGATTGTTTTAGAATTTTTGTAGATGTAAACTTTATGATGTGAATTTCATCTTTACACTTTTAATGAATAATAGACAAATAAATAGACTTTTAAAAGAATCACACATGTTTTATTTTTAATTTAAAGATTTCTTAAATAATTATTAATCAAATTAATCAAATTACTAACAAACTTTAGATTTTACCATCGAAATTTTCACTTTTAGCAACAGAAAGTAGCAATTACCAATGGCTTATTAGCGACTTACTAACGAAAAACTAACGGATTACCCTAAGAATACTGACAAATTACTAACAAATTTATTGATGGATTAGCAAAGGATTACTGATGGAAATCAGTATTTATTGATGGATTACAAACCAATTATCGACTAATTAGCAATGGTTTACCAACGGATTACTAATAGATTATCGAAAAATTGTCGACACAATTACCGATGAAATATTTATCGACAGAGTGCTGATGTAATTAATGAAGAAATATTTACCGATGGAATAATTATATTATTGACAGAATTATGTGTCAAAAATAATTGACAAAATTTTAAATTTATTGATGGAATCTTTTTATGTTTTAGTTTTTAAAGTTAATATTTTTATAAAAAGATTATTTAAGGTGTTTATATACAAAAAATACTTTAAATTATCCTTTTAATTTTTATAAAAGAATTATTTAAGTTATTTCTGTACAAAAAGCACCTTAAATAATCATTTTATAAAAATATTAATCCTCTATAAATGGCTTATTTAAGGTGTTTCTATAAAAAAATACTTTAAATAATTCTTTTATAAAATTATTAACCCTAAATCATAAAATAGAAAAAGATTATTTAAAGCGTTTTTTGTACAAAAATGCCTTAAATAATCCTTTTATAAAAAATATTAATCCTAAATCCTAAAATATAAGGATTATTTAAGGTATTTTTCGTATAAAAACTCTTAAATATCTATTTATAAAAATATAAAATGATTATTTAAGGTATTTTTGTATAGAAAATACCTTAAATAATATTTTTATAAAAATATAAAATATTTATTTAAGGCATTTTCTATATAAAAACACTTTAAATAATACTTTTATAAAAATATAAAAAAATTATTTAAAATATTTTTTATACAAAAATGTCTTAAATAATCAATTTATAAAATTATAAAATAATTATTTAAGGCATTTTTCATGGTAACCCCTTAATTATAATATAAAATTTTTTTTATATATAAAAATCTACAACTGAATTTCAGTCACTTTCAAACATATTTTACAAAAAGGTAACAACTATTTCATCATTTTGTGTTCAGGTCAAATTTAAAAATAAGATAACTGTCATCTCGAAATCTTAGAATATCACAGGGAGAGGTTGATTTTTGAGTCCGAGATTTTGGGCACTATTGAAAATCTAACATTTTCTCTCGTAATCAAATTATACTGAATAAAATGTGAGAATCAAATACTCATTGTCAAGATTTTAAAAGAAAATTTATGGATTCTTCTAAATCAAATGCATTCTTAATGTAATGTTAGTATATATGTTTTATATATTGTCAATGAATCAAATTATGTCATCTTATTACTAAGTAAATATCAATCTTTAAATAAATATATAAAAAATTAATATTTTTAAAAATTTTATTTTTTAATGAGATGATATCATTTGATTCACGTTATTAATGAAATAATATTATCTGATTTATTTATAATATATAAAATTTATGTATTCATAATACATAAAATATAAACTATTTAAATAATGAAAAATTATTAAATACGATGAAAATAAAATTTTTAATTCTACATGTGAAATTAAAATGATGATATATATATCTCTTATATATTTAAAAAATTAATTTTAAAAAATAATATATGTATTATTATTTGAATCTTACTTGTTGAATTAAAAAATTTTACTGTAAATATATTAAATAATTTCTCTTAAATAATAATATGCATGAAGAATTCGAAAAAACTTAACGAAGATGTTCTCTTGGAATGAGTTAGGCATTGACCGAGACTTTGAAAGAATTAAGCAGCGAAAAGCCAGATTTGCTGGAAGGTTCTGCTTTTCTATGAGTACATGCGTTATGTCTAAGCATTAGTTCAACCTCCTTTTTCACTTTCTCTGACAATTACTTTCTCATTTCCCTTCACTTTCCCTTCGATTTCCTCATTCCCGCAACCCCATCTCTTCTTGCATTATCACAAAACAATGCCTTTCCTTCTTGTATAATGCTCCCTTTTTTCTTTTTAAATCCTTACTCCTATTTGTTAAATCTTCAATTGGGTATCAAGCTTTGCTCCTTGAGTTCACAAGATCATATAGCTGTTGACCTTGCTTGTTTGTGGTTGGCTTATATTTTTGAGCTTTATTATCTTCCAAGTATCTGAAGTCAGAAGTAATCAGGAAACCATCGAATTCTTAGACTTTTCATCTGAAATTCAGGTACTTTAAGCTCATCGATATCTGGGATATCTGAAAGATTAATTTTTTTACATTTTGAGATAATTATTTTATTATCTTCTGGATATAATTGGTACCCACACGTGAAAACTATCTCTGGGTTTTTAAGATCTTAATTTGCTGTACTTAAAGAAAGTATGGGCTGGATTTTGTTTGATTATTGAAATGTTTAATTTGTTTAATTATTGAAGTATAAAAGACCATCATACCTCTGCAAAGAATTGACATACAACAAGCTTTGGCTCTTGAGTTAACTTCTACCTTAAAAGCTACTATATCTGATCCTTATAATTTCTTTCTGACCCTTATAATTTCTTTCTGACCCTTTTAGTGAAAATTTGGCTACAAGCAATAGATTACAAGCAAAAAGTGCTTCTGGGTTCCTAAGATCTTCTTCATCACCATTTGAATCTTTATCAGCTATGATGGGATTTCAATCTAGCAAAACGAAAGGAGATGGTCCAGAACCGTCTTCCCAAGTCCGGACTGATTCTCAGTTTGAAGTTGAGTTGAGCTCGTACGAGGCTGCTTGTAGACATGATTCAGCTTTACAACAGTTCAATGCAACACTCCAGGAACGTGCTAACAGTGTCATTGGCACACTTGCTGCTGGTTTGGCTGTTCAATCCTTATCTTTTGACTCGTTCAAAGAGGTTATTGGACATCTTCTTGAAACGAACCAGGAAGCGGTCAAAATCATTTTGGATTGTCAGAAAGATAAATGGAACAATCCGGACTTGTTATCTTTGGTGGAGGAATATTTTGAGAACAGTAAAACGACTTTGGACTTTTGCACTGCCCTTGAGAATTGCCTCAAACGTGCTCGAAACAACCAATTAATTGTTCAGTTGGCAGTTAAGTATTTTGACGAAGAGGGAGGGTTACAAGTTTGGACTGATGAGAAGAAATTTGTGAAGACCTTAGAAGAACTAAGGAAATTTAAAGCAGCTGAGAAGCCGTTCACAGAGGAGTTCTTTCTACTGTTTGACTCAGTCCGTGGGCAGCAAGAACTAGTTCTACAGAAATTGCTAGATCGGAAGAGAATCCTCCATAAGAAATTGAAATCTCTGAAAACAAGGAGGAGAGTGTCATATGTCTTGTTTGTAACAATTTTTATCTCAGTGTGGATTTTTTCCGTGGTGGCAGCAGCCATAGCTGCACCGCGTGTTGTAACAGCTTTGGCAAGTGCAATGACAGTTCCTGTTGGTTCACTTGGAAAATGGTGCAACTGGCTTTGGAAGCGCTATGAGAATGAGCTGAAAGGGCACGAGGAGTTGATAGCTACAATGGAGTTTCGTACTGGCATTACGATCTATGACATGGAAAACATAAGATTGCTTGTCAGCCGATTGGAAATTGTGATTGAATCACTGTTGCAAATTGCTGATTTTGCCCATAAAGAAGAAGATGCGGTGAAGCTTGCAATTGATGAGATCAAAAGAAAGTTTGAAGTATTTATGGAAATCATCGAGAAATTGGGTCGACAGGCTGACACGTGTAACCATGATATTAGGAAGGCGAGGACTGTGATTTTGCATATGATGATGAGACGTTCTGGCACTTCAACAGCTGGATGCAGCCCCTGGGAACTCTTGCAATGACATATTTCAGTGTTGATGTTGTATCAATTTTATGCTCTAGGTAATGAAATTCCACCTCCACGGGTGAGTAGATCTGGACTTGATCCTACATATAACAATTACATTTTCAGCTGATCTAATTTTGGTTCATTTTTAGACCATTTGCTTTTATAGAAAAAATCTTCCTGGATTCTAGTGTCAATGTTTGGATCTGCTTCCTGGGTTTGGCTTAGATTGCTGTAATCATAAATGCACTTGTCATCACAAATGGTAAAGGTAGTTATTTGGTTTATGCAAGTAGCATGATTGGGGAAACTGTGAATTTTAAGCATCATGCGAGTGGTCTGTAGAAAGATCATGGGTAATTTATCCCAAGGAGAAGTGGCATCTGTAACTTCTTCGAGTAATCTTTCTGTCTCTATCTTTGTTGATTCAAAGTAAATATTTACGCCGATTTGGAGATTTCTTAAAACAAAATTTTAACTTTTTGTAACTTGATTTTCACATATGGTTTACAGAATGTTACTCATTGAGGGTTTCTAAAATTATTAATAATATCAAGAAAAGAGAAAATAATTAGAAATAAAAAATCCTCCGCTTTTTATCCATATTCATAAGAAAAATTTAAATTTATCCAGTTTTTGCTCTCAATGATTAGTATTTAGTGTCTATTATATCTTTTAATGTTATATAAATTGTTTCATAAATTAAGACTCAATCTAACACATAAAACTTCAACATTTGACATCTCACATCACGCATATAAAAATATCATTTTATACAAAAGAGGAATTAATTCAATTATTTTAATTTATTTTTTAATTGAGTTTTTTAGAAGTAATTTGATTTTATTTAATTAAGATATAATAATAAAAATTATTAAAGTATATCTATTATGTCAATAATATTCTATTTAAAATAAAACAAATATTTGTCATAAAATATTTTTTTAATTAATTTTTAGATTAAAAAATATTTTTATATGCAATATATAAAATGTATTAATGAATTATAAAATTAATATATATTTTATACATGATGTATTAAATAAGTTACATATTATATAAATATATATAAATATATTAAAAAATTAATTATTTATGTATTAATAAATATATTACAAAAATGCTATACAAACGATTATTTTTATAAACTTTGTTTATATATAGATGACGTTTAGATAATAACAACCATCGTCTACGTTCAATTAGACGACGGTTGACGGTTGTTCACAATAACTGTAATCTACATTCACACCGACGTCTCTATATATAAAAAAATGAAAATGAAATTTTATAATTCATGAACACGTAAAGTTGGGGATTTAAGGGTTACTGGTAATTATTTAATAAAATGCCTAGATTTTATAAAATTTTATATTTTATGGTTACAACATGTAATTTTTGTTTGTTGTAAGGCAGAAGTGTAACTTAAATTATGTGATTATGGCTAGTGTTCTTTCCATGATTTCCAGATTTCTGGTGTTGTGTTTAGGAAATACTTAGAAGGTTAAATTAGGTAAATAGGTGAGATAATGAAATACTTAGAAGGTCAAAAGGAATAAGAAAAAGAAAAATTGGGGAAAATCGTATTGGTAAATAAAAAAAATTAACGGTATTAGTGTTAAAACTAACAAAAATAAGTTAAATGATAATGAAAATAATGACAAGATAGTTAAATGTCAAAATTTAACCTTAGGAGGCATTCTCAAATTGCCTCACAAACCACAAAGGGGTTTTCTGTAATTTACTCTAAATTAATTTAATTAAATTACTTGTAAGTTAAATAAATAAATATATTATGAAAATGTTAAATAAATTGATTATTCATGTGTTAATAAATATATTATGAAAATAAATATATTAAAAAAATTGTTAAATAAATAATTTTATGAATATCACGTATTATTCATGTGTCATCAATGGTTATATAGTAAAAGAATACATTAAGTAATCTTAGATTTTGTGAATTAAATATAGAACTCTTACATTCCGTAAAGTCAACAAATCACAAGAATCACATATTCTGTGGCTATCACTTTTTATTAGAATCACCTACCTTCCCAAAATCTAAAAATCTATGAATCAAACGTCTCCTTAAGGTTGATCAAATAAGTGATAAACTAAAATTTATTGGAGACTAAGGATACCAATGGGTAAGGTATGAAATGGATGGAGCAATTTACATTTTCATCCTCAGTTTTTATATTATATCTATTCTTGTACCCATACTCGATAGTTATTTCAAATTTATCTCTATCTCTATTCTTACGGATATTTAATAGATACAGGTAATCTCGTACTTGTAACTTTTTTTAAAAAATAATTTTTTTATTTTTTTTTATTTTATCTTACACATTTATGTAATTTTTTTAAATAAATATATATTAATATATACTTTTAAAATAAAATATATTAGTTCTAATTAATCAAAATAATAATTTACATTATTTAATAAAAATCTATTTACTCAATATATATATGTAGGATACATATATAAGTATGGGAAAAATGTTATAATACCCATACTCATCCTCCATAAAAATTTTAAAGTCATACTCATCCTCTTCTCTGTCCCATAATGTAATATTCATCTCCATTTTTTTTTTGGATAAAAAGTTAAGTTTCACATTAGGGATGAGTAAAATTGACATCCCCATTGAAGATTAGTCTAACATCACAAAAATGCTAGGTTTGCTTACTTTTCTTTGTGGTCGAGAGAAAAGCTTGTATTAATCTATTTTTGTCCGCACAAGATAGACAAAGTGGGTTAAAGAGAAAAAAAATCTAGGACTTTGAATTAATTGGGTATTTTGGTTGAATGAATCTTATAATTTTCTAATTTTGAGAGTTTGTTGTTATAAAAGAGATAAGTAGTTGTGTTTATGAAAAGAGTTAATTACATTTTTGGTATACGAATTTTAGAAAATATAAAAAATTAATATTTAAAAAATAAAATATACAATTCACACCTTAAACCCTCAAATAATTTACAATTTATATGCTAAAATTTCAAATTATGCACCATATTAACCCAAACTCTAATTGTGTTAATCATATTGATTTATTTATGGGGTGTTTGATAGATATTATCAATTTATATGTTCACCACACATACTATCAACATCTTTTTTAACATAAATTAAAAATATTTTTTACCTAAACTATAAAAAATATTTAGGATAAATCAATCAGTTTTTGGCATGTGACATTCACAAGAGGATTTTTACAAAATATTTAACACTTTTATGTAACAAATAAAATGCATATAATAAAATTATACTGATGAGATATCATATAGGCAAATTAAGTTAATAATATTTGAATTTTGGATAAAAATGAAACATTATTCGAAAGTTTAGATTACAAATTTTACATTTCATTTCTTTAAGTGCCAATTTATAAATTTTTTCTATGTTTATATAGCCAAAGTGTAATTAACTCTTATAAAAACCATGGATCATTTAGGTGATTTGTTAGCATGGGTTGTAGGGATGTAAGGTTGCTAACATTGCCAGGATTATCGATAATTAGACCACCTAGCAAATGGAAGTAATTTGCTTATGTTGTTAAGCTATTATGTTACAAGTTCCTATGCTGATGCTTTCATTTGAAACCTTGTATCAATTCAACAGTCTACTCCTTGTCATAACGTGCATGTCATAGAACTCAATCATTAGACACAACATATGAAGTCATCATTAATCTTTTTTAACTAAATGTGATTGATTATCTAAGCGAATTTATCATTTCTAAAGTTATCATAAGCGTGATTAAGGGTTCCTAAAGAGAATAAGTTTTAGTCTTCTAAACAAAATTAGGTTTGGGAGTTCAGATACATATAAGAAAGGTTATAACACCCCATAATGCCCACAAATTAGTACCAATTAATTTTAAATTATCTTTTTAGCATTCATTAAAATGGTCTTTATTTTATTCTTATTATTTATTATTTATATTAATTTTAATATTTAAATATTAAAAATATTTTTAGATTTTCTCTAACACTTTGGTTAATCCCTTAAAAATATTCTTTACCTTAAGAGTATTCAAGTAACATATATGTTTCTTTGAAGAAACTTCATCATCGAATTTATTAAATAATTTATGAAAAAAGAGATGCATATAAATACATGATAATATATATAATTAAATTCATAATAATAATATATAATAATCAAATACAAAATTTAATACATGTAATCACAATTTATCCAATAACTAATCACGTAATTAAATCATAACTTGTTCCAATTTTATTTTCTCAAATTAAAAATAAATAAAAAATTCTTATATTGAGCCCAATTTTTACATTTTCCAACGCTTTGATCGAAATTAAAAGCTTAACTACAACTATGCTACCAATAAATGTATTGGTGGAGACTGCTTGCATTACACTTAAGTGGTTTGGCAAAACTCAACTTGTCTTGGGTGTACTAAAGTTAAGTCTAGCAATGGCTGATGGTTCATGATTTGCAACTATCATCCTCCGAGGAATTATGTGGGATAATATCCCCATTCGATTTGGCATGATGATCTAATCAAGTCAGGCACAAATCTTACTTTTAGAAATTCATTTGTTGGTATTGGAAGATTTAAAAGTTTGTCAAAAATTTCAAATTTTCTCCAAATCAAAATTTAAAATTGATTAAGAACTTAATTCCAAATATTTTCAAAGATTAAAAGATCATTGCAAAAAATTTATGCTTTTATTCCTTTTTTTTTTTGTTTGCCTAGATCAACACTTTTTAAATCCCATCCAATCCTAAAATCACATTAAGGAATTTGCCCCAACAACTATTATTTATTTATTTATTTTTGTTAATTGATCCTTTTTTGTGCTTGTTTGGGTTCTTTAAATAAGAATTTAATCTGAGCCTTAATAAGAGTTTAAATTTGAAGACAATTATCTTAATTTTTTTTACTCAATTTAAACCTTAAAAATCTAAATAAAACACACATTTACATATTTCAATCCTTTTTCAATCTCAACTTTTCTTTTCTTTTTTTCTTTTTAATTTCAGACTCTTTCATTTTTAACCAACCAAAATAAAAAATAAAAAACTCAATAATAAAATAAAATAAAATAAAAATTTAACTCTAATTAAAACCTTAGACTAAATGGGATGTTTACACTTTGGTTAAGGGCATTTTTAGGTCCAAAAGGGCATCTTGGTCATTTTTTTTCATTAGAGACTGCCTACTATAAGCCAAGGCTATTTTGGATTTTTGGACCGATCTAACAAGTTAGATTGACCAGTGATCACAATGTCACATCAACTAAGCCACCACTTCAATTTGCTCAATGGGGCTCACCCAGATGCTGACTTGTCATTTTCTAAATGGATGGTTAGTGTCCAGGTCAGCTTAGCCCTCCAAGTTACCCTTAACCGTAAAAATGACCTTGGCTGCCCAAAACCTCTTACCTTCTAACATAAATCGGACATCCATGTACCATTCAAACCTTCTAAGAACCTTATTCTCTCATATTTTTTCTATTCACTTTTTTATTTTTCTTTTTAGCTGATCTCTGACTTGAGCATGAGAGCACAAACGCTAAAGACACCCCCAGCCTTTGTTCTTAATCGTTCTCTATCCTTTTATTTCTTGTGATTTTAGGGTTTTTCCCCTTAAGCTCAGCTTGGCATAGATAA